GTGCGCCCCGGCCCGAGAGCGCAGGGTGGACGGCTACAGACATACTGTGAGCATAGGACCCCCTGGGGCTATTACACATTAGGAAACCCCCTAGGGGCTCCAGGTCCAAAATAGAGGACACGGGGGGGAGTTGGGGGAAGGGGGGGCAGTGACATGCCGGTGCCCTGCCCCTGCCCCTCACTCCCAAACCGCAGCCCCTGCCCCCACCCCTTGCTGGTACCCCTCTCCTGACCCACAGCCCCTGGCACTGCCAGTGCCCTGCACATCCAACCCACAGTGACCCATCCCATCCCCCTCCCAGCCCTGCCGGTGCCCCTTGCTCCTGACCCGCAGACCCCTGCCCCCCCAGCCCTGCTGCCCAAGCAGCTCCTGTGTTGCACGCACGCTGGCTGTCTCGCACGCTGGCTCTCTCACACACCTCTTTCTTTCTTTCTCTCTCTCTCTCTGGTTGCTGGAGCCCGCACTGGGAGCATGTGATCCCCAGCAGCCACTGGCACTGCCCACTGCTCCCAACCCCAAACAGCCATCCCAGGAGAGCAGAAAACCCTGACATTTGCTCTTAATTTAAAAACCCACCTGGACGCAGCATAGGGGTCCAAAAAAAAAGACATGTTCAGGAAAACCCGGATGTATAGCTTCTGTCATACCTATGTTTAATAACTGCAGTCCAGTCCCATCACTGCAAGTTGCAGGTTTCCTTACATCCCTGTGTGTTATCTCCTTGGTGGAAATATGCAAGCTAGGCCTGGGCAGCACTGGCATAGGCGTCTGCAGTCTCAAACCAGATCTTCTCAACCACTTCTTGGCCCACCTCAAACAGTTGGACTAAGTGCTTCCATCCCACTCGGGCTGTGATCATTAAGTATTCCTGATTTTCAGGATATAACTGCAAAGTGTGAGCCGCTACTACCAGCGATTGAGAGAACCTACCGCTCACCAAAAGGAAGAGGGCACCTCTCTCCTCTGGCGTCAATGGCACGATGCTTTCAAACCCTGCAAGCACATGTCCTCCAACGCTGAGAGGATCTTTGCTCTCAATCATCATGTACATGATTGCTATGGCTACTTCAAATACATAGTAACCATAGCTCATATCACTAAAATCCAGAATGCCAGTCACTCTGTACTGTGCCCTCTCAGGAGAAGATGCAGGGTTGCAATCCACCAAGATGTTATGGTCATTAAGGTCCCCATGATTGATACCTGAATGCAAAAAGGAGAGAGAACGTATTATGTACAAACAAGAAAAAGAAAAGTAGTAAACAAAGAGTGGAAACTTTGCCCATTCTCTTGAGAAAACTAAATTGAAAACACGTACATATGAAGAGAGAATGAAGTTAACACTCCCAGATTAACTGCATGCCTATTCTGGTCTGCCTCAACAGAACCGAATCCTGACAATATTGCTATAACTCATGCTTTCCTGGTTCTTTATAAGAACCTGTTTCATAATCATATATAAGCACATTAGATAAGTGGCATTTGGATGTTTATGATTTATTACTTAGCTTTTATAGCACCTAAAATGTGCCACCTGCTATCCAGACACAAAGATTCACGCACAAAGTCATGAAGCCTTTCACTGCTGGATTACCATTGTCACTAATTTAGGTTATTTTGAGAGACATTGCTCTTTGACAACTGTCAGCGGCCAATATGAAATGAGTAAGAAGCCTTCATCTAGTTCTACTAAACTCTTGTTATATTATGAAAATCTCCACAGTAATTGGCACCCTTGCTGGGAATCTCAGCAAACAGGCTAAAACTAAACTCCCTTTTAACTCATGGAAATAATTCATTCCTCCCAGGCCTGGTTTGGGTCTTGTTCACCGAGCATTGCGAGCAGCTTGTATATATTCAGGAGTACAATAAACAATTTCCTATAGTGCCCTGTATTTGGCTCTTTTTATAAGCACGCAAATTCTCTTAGAATCATTTCTTACATTCAGGAAGTCTTACAGCAAAACTGTGTTAGAAACTACTCACAGGCTCGAAAATTGCTTAGGTTGGGTAAGATTTTCTCTTTAAACTGTTGAATTACTTGGCTCACAACTTCACAGTATTCGCTCTGGCCCAGGGCATGAATATACTGATCCAAAAGAGGAACATTTGCCAAGTTCCAAATGAACTTCCCTCGATGAAGACTTTTTACTGATGGATGATGGAATTTCTTCAGGAAATCATAAAATAGAAAAAAGGATATAAACGATAGTTTCGTTATCGCATACAAAGGCAACAGAAAGTCTTTAATGGACTTTAACTGGATTTAGATCACATTTATAGAGCAGCATTATGGCTTTGATGACCATTGCCACCAGCGTCCTCCCGCAAGATGATCTTATCATCCACTGCCACCTTTGGGTGAGGCTTCTGTAAATCTTTCAGTAATGGAGATTATCCTAAATTATTCAATTCATTAAAATAGTGCCAATGATAAAATCTTACACACATGCGGCTGCTTTCAACCTCAGAAATCCCATGGTCTCTCACAAATTCTATACTGTGTATAGAGTCAAAGCACTCCTCATTAAACTCAAAGCATCCTTCAGAAAATGCCAACTCTTAGCTTTCATTTGTTTCTGGACTATGAAATAGCAGAAACGCTCTATTGCAAAGAACTCAGAAAGACCATGAAAGGTCAGAGTGTTCTTGACACTATGAATTCCCGTCTGATAGCTCTGGGTTTATCTTATGAATCATGTGCAAGTGTCTGCACACCTAACTGTTAATACTGCGTGGCACTCAAAAGAATCTCAAGGTGTCATTTTCTATACCATTCAATAATACTTTATTGGCACAACTAGCTGAACAAATGTTGCTCAAATAAAAAAAGAGAGAATGTTCAGGTACATTAGGAGAGAACACACAGCTGTGCTAGAGCAAATGCTAGAACAAAGCTTTACTTTTCTAAAAAAAAGT